ATTATTCTCCTTAATTTCTATCAATTCACTTGAAATAATATAATTGAAAAAATCATAAAAATGTAAAGGATTAAATCGAAATTTTTTAAATCATAAGAACTAAATTAAAAAATCAATTTAAATATTAAGGAATAAAACAAATATTTCGCCTTATTTATTAAAAGTGTGGATGAAAAAGAACAACAAAAAAGTATTGTTGCTCCACTAAAATATATATCTTTCCTAAACTATATTCCTTGTTATAGTGCTACTTCTCAAAGATATGTCTATTCAATGGCATACAGTTCCAATTACACGTTTTTCACCATCCAACCAACTTTTTTTTTTATATGCGTGAAGTATCCGGGCTAATTTGATCGGTAACATTTTAAAGATGTGTTAATGAATAATATTAATGTTAAGGACAACGATATCCCAAGTATTTCTATAACTATAGATATTGACTGCTTTAGACATAAGACTCATGGATTTGCTTTTAGTTTAAAAAAAAAAAGTCTATACCAATGGAAATAAATATTCTTATTTACATACTATGAATTACTCTTTTCCCCGATCAATGTGGGACATTATTTGCACACCTTGTAATCCCATCAACTAATATTTTTTCCGCCTCGTAATTTTTGCGTATTGAAAATTCCACAACACATAATTGATTGGTTCTTAAGAAATTTTGAGAATTCTTTTTCTTAACTTTCAAATTAAGAAAGGTAATATGTGTCGTATCCACTAAACTATGTTTAAATTAACAAAAATTCAGTTATTAGACTTAGTTAATTTTATTGCGCCTATATGAACATAGTTTAACAATATAAATGATATCTATTATTTTTCTTGTAGTCGAAGGTTCAAATATTTACGCTTGTACTAAAAAAACAGTTTTATTTATATTTTTCAATATTTGTAAGTAGAGTGATTAAATGTAACATTTTCTAAAAAATATTCATTAACAGTAATTTACTTTAGTAATAAAATCAATATGTTTTTATTTTATAAGATGTTGGTAAATTTATATCTGATGATAGACGTATTGACTATAATTACAACACACTAATATGAGTTTGATACCTTTAAATTATATTTATAATTATTTTTTAATATTTTATTTCAATTAGGTTAATTATATTTCAATATATTAAATTCATTGTACAAATTTTATATTGTAATACACATTTATCTAAATTAGGTTAGCTAATTTATATATATTAAATTCGTTGTGATATAAATTAAATAGAGAAATTGCAGTGGATAGCAAAAATCTTTTATATATTTCAAAATATGTCAGAATCTTTTATATATTTCAAAATATGTCACATGTTTTTAAAATTTTCAAATATAGCAAAAATTTTCACTTACATCAGATACTCATATCAGTAGTATATTAAACACTCATATGAGTAGTATATTAGATGTATATCACAGTCATATTGCACAGACACTCAGTTCAGTAATATATCAAATGTATATCACATACATATTGCAAGTATATTATATATTCATATCAATAGTATATCAGATGTATATCACATACATATATCAGTAATTAAATATATTACATATATATTACCGATGTATATCATTTCGGTAAAATTGTAATTGGAACCTCCATTTTTTTCTTTTCAAAAAGTGCTATATTTGAAAAAAAAAATTAAATGTGGTTGCTATTGTACTAATTTTACTAAATTTTTTTGCCATAACCCAATAAATATATAAACTTTATTAAAAATAAACAAATATATAAGTTATTAATTAAAAATAATTATTTTTTAAATAAATATTAAATAGTCCACTAAATTGTAAGTGACATGTTTTCCTTAAAAAAAATTAAATAAAACACCATACCATTGAGATACTATTTTTCACATAGTTTCATAAAAAAAAAAAATTGTTGATCAGTCACGAAACCAATAGTTTTTTAAAATTAAATTATTAATCAAATAATAAAGATGAATCATCGAAAATCATTATTTAAAAAAATATATAAAAATAACAATATTAGTATTGATCAACATTAAAAGCGACAGTAATTAGTATATACCTCAAACAATGAGATTCTCCAACATGTTGTATTAGAAAAAACAAAGACACCTGCATTTAGTTTTATATTTCTATTTACTCTGTTATCTTTGTTAATATAGTTGACAGTCTACCTCTCTGTCTTTTGATCACTTCTTTTAATAAGAATCGAGTCCAGCATTTGTGATCATTTACATTTCTCTTTCTTATTCTTTAGTTAAGACTCTTCACTATTCAGAAAACTGAAATTTCCAATCTTAACATATATAGTTCGTCCTCCTTAAAAGGGCCCTACGTCAAAATACTTGCCCCATATTTATAATATACATTTTTAAAACAAAAATACCCCATGAGAAAATGGAAATATTGACATTATTTTGAAGTTGGACATTATTATTTCTAATGTCTTTGGCTGAAAATGCCTGTTGATACTGATAGTGATCTCTTTCATAAAACCATTGAGAAAATGGAATATTTTCTTCCAATCTTTCCCTCGATGAATACAACTCTGGTGGGAATTGAGAATTGTTTCTTCCTTTGAATATATCCTGAAAATAGGATTCTTTGATTCTTTGTTTCCAGTGAGAGTCATCTGAATAGGATTCTTTGATTCTTTGTTCCCAAGGAGAGTCAAAAGTCCAGACGAAGGGATTGATTGAGTCTCCATATTGATTTGAACTTGGACTCCTGATGATTAATTGATGTCAAGGGTCTCCTGTTAAGAAGATAATCAACGTAACAGGCGTTCATAACAGATCTGGATTATTTATTTTGAGATGAAACTCCATGAATATTAATAATTAAGAATTCGAAGACGTGTATGTGTATATCAATCCATTACCTGGAGTAGTTGATGGATCAATGAA